TTTTACTTATTTTTTAAATTTATTTAGACGATTCATTTATTATTAATTTAAAGGATTTATTTATTATTTATTTAGACGACCAACTAATGTGTTTCTTCTTTTTTTTATTTGCTTAAAAACCTGCCGTACATGAATGATCCTGCATTCCAACTTCAACGTTACCACTAGACCACAAGACGCTAAAAGTACAGCTATTAAACGATCAACTAATTGTTTTCTTAATTATCTTTATTTAAAAACGTTCAATACATGACTCACCCTGCACAACTTCGCACGTTACTATTGGATTACAAAACGCTAAACGCACAACCGTTAGACGATCAACTAATTAATTTCGTAATTATTTTTTCTTAAAACCTGCCATACATGAGTCTTGCAAGAAAACTCATGAATGGCAGGTTTTAGTAAGATCTTTAAAGATCTTACTTAAAAAGATCTTACAAATCTTACTAAAAGACCTTAAAGATCTTACAAATCTTACTGAAAGACCTTAAAGATCTTCATATATATTTTAAAGATCTTACATATATATTTTAAAGATCTTTAAGGATCTAGCACGTACTAGCTAGATCTTTTAAGACGATAAATGCACAGCCGTCAGACGATCATCTAATTCGTTTCTTATTAATTTTTACTTAATTATTTTTTCTTAATTTTTTAATTTATTTATTATTTATTTAGATGATCAACTGATTCTTCCTTAATTATTTGTTACTTAAAAATCTGCAGTACGTAGGGGCCCGATGGCCGAATGGCTAGCGCTCTGGCGTTCGGTACCACAGGTATCGAGTTCAAATCCCGGCTTTGCCCATGGGTGTTGTAGTGGTTCGGAATCCACTTTAAGCCGTGCGTCCCGGTCCTAATAGGATCGTAGAGTGCTGCAGGGGCATTGTTACTCCGCGTCCATGGCTTACCATCAAGCTACACGTGCCCCTGGGTAATGCAAAGTGATTAACATCTGTGCAGCCCTTAAAGGCGAAATATCACGGTCTATTTGCCAGTTGCATTAGAAGAAAAAAAAAATCTGCAGTACATGAGACATCCTGCAGTCCAACTTCACGCGTTACCACTGGACCATAAGACGTTAAACGCACAACAGTTATACCATCAGTGAAAATGGAATAAAACAAAAAAGAATGACCAACAAGCAAAAGGCGTTTTACGAAATTTGCAAAGCACTCTTAGAAATTAACATAAAAAAGTAAAGCTGAATTACATACTCTGTATTAAATGTGATTTATTTCCAGTAAATATCAGAGTCAGTAATCTTACTTTAATCCAGAAAAAAACACCAACAATTTTGTTTCGATTTTTAGCTGGCGAAGAGAAGTGCATGATTAACTGCTTCTTCAGAAATGAATAATGATGTGCAGGACAAGCGAAAACAACCGAAAAACATTTCTCAGAAGACAAATTAGTTACTTTTATGTATGTAGCTTATTACATAATCTATTACAAGAATCATGGCTGGCAATCTGTGCCTGACACTAAGTTTCATAAAGAGAAAATAGCTCGTTTTTTTTAATTAGCATATCGCACATTTTTTTAGCTTTAGAATTTTACATAAAAAAAAAGGTGATAAAAAATGTATTTTTATTCATGAATATTAATTATTATATTTTAATTATTCCGATTGTTAGTCATAATAATACGTCATAATAGAAGCTTGTGCAATATGTAATATTGTGGAAATATTTTAGAAAACCTGATATACACTTAATCATAATCATATTATAAGCACTAAAATAGGTAATAATTTTAAAAATATTTTGAAAATCTGCCGTACTTGAGTCATCCTACACTCCAACTCCATCCACGTGTTAACACTGGACCACAAGACGCTGAACGCACAACCGTTAGACGATCAACTAGTTCGTTTTTAAATCATTTTTTAACTAAAATCCTGTCGTACATGAGTCCTCCTGCCCTCCAACTTCACACGTTACCACTGGACAACAAGATGCTAAACACACAACCATTAGACGATAAACTATTTCGTTTCTTACTATTTTTTACTTAGTTATTCTTAACCTAATTTTTAAAAAAATTATTTAGACAATTTATTTATTATTTGTTTATTTAGACGACCAACCAATTCGTTTCTTAAATATTTTTTACTTAAAAACTTGCCGTTCAGGAGTCACCCAGTATTGTAACTTCACGCTTTACCACTGGACCACAAGAAACTAAGCGCACAACCCTTATATCATGAGTGAAAATGGAAGAAAATAACAAACAGACCAAGAAACAAAAGGCGTTTTACAAAATTTTCAAATCACTCTTTGAAATTACCGCAAAAAAGTAAATCTGAATTATATATTATGTATTAAATATGATTTTTTAATTTCAGACTGTGATTTATTTCCATTAAATATCAGAGTCAGTAATCTTACTTTAATCCAGAAAAAAAGCCAGTTTGTTTCGATTTTTAGCTGACGAAAAGAAGTGAATGATTAACTGCTTCTTCAGAAATGAATAATGGTGTGGAGGACAAGCGAAGACAACTGAAAAACATTTCTTAGAAGACAAATTAGTTACTTTTATGTATGTAGCTGATTGCATAATCTATTACAAGAATCATGGCTGTGTCTGACACTAAGTTTTATAAAGAGAAAATAGCTCGTTTTTTAAATTAGCATACCGTACATTTTTTTCTTACCTTCAGGATTTAAACTTAAAAAAGGTATTACAAAAATAATTCAAATTGTCTTTTACTATCATAAAAAATCGCCTTGTGTAACATATAATATTCTTGAAATACTTAAAAAGAAATGATATTATGAAAATCTGATAAACTCGTAATCACAATCATAACACAATAAATGGTTTCACTTATTTCACTGATATAACTAATCACGTTTGCTAATTATTCTTTTATTTAAAAACCTGCCGTACATCTTGTACTACATGCACTCCAGCTTTGCGCATTACCACTGGACCAGAAAACGTTAAACGCACAATCGTTAGACCATCAGTGTAAATGGAATAAAAAAAAAAAGACCAATAAACAAAAGCGTTTTACAAAATTTGCAAAGCACTCTTAGAAATTAACACGGTCTGATGGGCCACTGGTTAGCGTTCTAGCCGTTGGTACCGAAGGCTTCAGTTTCGAATCCTGGCGTTGGCATCGATGTTTGTTGGTGGCTCGAAATCCACGTTAAACTGTAGGTCCCGGTCTGTTTAGCCCTCGTGCGCACAAAATGACCGTAGAGTGACAAACCAAACCAGCTTTGCGCATTACCACTGGACCAGAAAACGCTAAATGCACAATCGTTAGACCATCAGTGAAAATGGAATAAAACAAAAAAAAAAAAAAAGACCAATAAACAAAAGGCGTTTTACAAAATTTGCAAAGCACTCTAAGAAATTAACGCGGCCTGATGGGCCACTGGCTAGCGCTCTAGCCGTTGGTACCAAAGGCTTCAGGGTCGAATCCTGGAGGTGGCATCGATGTTTGTTGGTGGTTCGAAATCCACAAACTGTAGGTTTCTCTCTGTTTAGCCTAAAGTGTCGACAAGATGACCGTAGCGCGACAAACCAAACTTAGAAATTAACACTAAAAGTAAAGCTGAATTATGTATCTTGAATCAAATATGATTTTTAATTTCAGACTGTGTTTTATTTCCATTAAATATCAGAATCAGTAATCTTATTTTAATCCAAAAAAAAAAATCCAGTTTGCTTCGATTTTTAGCTGGCGAAAAGAAGTGAATGATTAACTGCTTCTTCAGAAATGAATAATGATGTGGAGGACAAGCGAAAACAACCGAAAAACATTTCTTAGAAGACAAATTAGTTACTTTTATGTATGTAGCTGATTGCGTAATCTATTACAAGAATACTGGCTCGCAATCTGTGTCTGACACTGAGTTTTATAAAGAGAAAATAGCTCGTTTTTTAATTAGCATATCGTATATTTTTTTAAGTTCCAGAATTTTACATAAAAAAATGTGATACAAAAATAATTTATTTTTATTCATGAATAATAATTAAAATATTTTATTTATTCCAATTGTTACTCACAGTCATAAAAAACGCCTTGTGAAACATATAATATTGTTGAAATACTTAAAAACAAATGATATTAGAAAAACCTGATAAACTCTTAATCACAATCATGTCAAAAAAGGGTAAAATGGGTAATAATGATAATAATTCTCTGAAAAATATTTGACAATACAAATTTTCTAAACAATGTACGACAATAATAATTCTCTGAAAATTGTACGACAATACTAATTTTCTGAAAATTGTACGACAATACTAATTTTCTGAAAATTGTACGTCAATACTAATTTTCTGAAAATTGTACGACAATACTAATTTTCTGAAAAATGTACGACAATAATAATTATCTGAAAAATGTAAGATAATAATAGTTCTCTTAAAATATATCCTAAATAAGTAAATTCCATAAACAATTTCTTCCATATTAGGTTTTGTTTTATGTGGCGGATAGAGAGCAAAAAGAAAACTGATTTACTGCATTCATAAAAATCCTCAGTTTTTCTTCATATTATGACTACTTACGGGTAATTTTTCTATATACGACACAAAAACGATACAGAAAAAATATCATAAAAAAGAGTAAAGAATACAATGTGAACAATTATGTACAAATATTTACAATATCACATTAAAATTTTACTTTAAAATTAAATATATTTTTTGTGTAAAGCTGTAAAGATATAATAGATACATATAAATTAAAATATATTTTTAATAAGGAATGTTTGATAAATTTTTCCGTTGAAATATAAAAATCAAATTGGATGAATTTATTGAAGAAATTTAAAATAGATATTTTGTAAAATGTATTTTAGTAGGAAGGAAGTTGTCATTACTTTTTACATTTAATTACGCAAACTAATTTATAGTTATTAATATTACTTTCTTAAAATAAATACTATTATATTAGTTTTTTATCAGAAGTGGAATAAAATGACTATTTTAAACATTATAGTAATAAAAGTAACTATTAACTTAACTATTTTGAACCAACGGCCATACCATGCTGAATATACTGGTTCTCGTTAGATCACCGAAGTCAAGCATCATTGGGCGCTGTCAATACTTGGGTGGGTGGGTGACCACCTGGGAACACCGCATGCCGTTGGCATTCACAAATTTGGAATCTGAATGGCCGAGTGTCTAGCGCTCTGGCGCTTGGTGCCACAGGTTTCGGGTTCGAATCCCGGCGGTGCCATGGATGTTTGTAGCGATTCGGAATCTACTTTAAGCTGTAGGTCCTGGACTCCTATGACTGTACGATAGTCACGGAGCCAAAGTCAGACTTCTACCGAGGGTGCTCCATCACAACAGAAGCGGCTTCCTTCCCCTTCAGTCATGAGTACGTATGGGCTCGTGGGCTTGTCCAGCCAAGTGGGATAAGAAACAACAACAAATTAACTATAAATATTCTTTATTATATTAAATAATTTATGAAGACGATTCACATTAAGAAATTACGATAAAAATTCTAAATTTGTATTGAAATTGAATATCATATTCTTAAATGATGAAAACTAATGAGCATATGCAACAATTACATCGTTTATTTATCTCATTCTTCATTTGCGCAACAGCCCCATGGTGGGTCAAACCATCTGATTACTTTCAGATTTCAGGACACGAGACACTCTTCTTTTTATGCCAGCACTACTTCTAACGCTCTACAGTAATATTAAACCGGGATCTACGGTTTAAAGTGGATTCCGAACCACAACAAATATCAATGACACCTAAGGGATTAGAACCCGAAACCTGTGTCACCAAGCATGATAGCACTAGCTACGTCACAACGGGACCCTTATTTTTCGCCTCTTAGAAGATTACTAATAATAATGGCCATGCGAGTGACGCTCGATGCCACAGGTTTCGGGTTCGAGTTCCGGTGGTGCCATGGATGTTTTTAGTGGTTCGGAATCCACTTTAAACCGTAGATTCCGGTTTAATATAGCTCCAAAGCTTCGGGCGTAGGGCTAACAACCTTTTCTCAACAATCTTCTTTCTCTCCATTTCTCAACAACAATTCTTCCTTTTATGCCAGCACTATTCCCAGTAATATTAAAATTAATTATTAAATATTATTCTACAGTAATATTAAACAGGGATCTACGGTTTAAAGTGGATTCCGAACCACTAAAAACATCCATGACACCTCTGGGATTTGAACCCGAAACATGTGTTACCAAGCATCAGAGCACTAGCCATGCTCCCAGCGGGCCCCTTATTTTTTGCCTGTTTGAATATTACTAATAATAATGGCCATGCGATTGACGCTCGGTGCCACAGGTTTCGGTTTCGAGTCCCGGTGGTGCCATGGATGGTTTTAGTGGTTCGCAATCCACTTTAAACCGTAGGTCCAGGTCTAATACAGCTCCAAAGCTTTGGGCGTAGGGCTAACAACCCTACCTGTAAAAAGAAATCACCTGTCTCGAAATCTGTAATAAGGCGGAAGGCCTTGGCACACGGGGGGCTGTTCCATCAATGAGGAAGATGAAAATTTTAATAAAATAATATGTTTACTATCAACATGGCATATTTAACATCATGCAAAAATTTGCTTATTCAGATGTCTAAAAATGTGGAAAATTCGCTTGTATATTCCGTTTTTTAAATTAGTTTTTAAAGCAGTCATAGTGTCGTACAATTATTTTTAAATGTTTTGTGACCTCACTCATTGCACCTCATATCATACTGCAACCTCATATCATTGAGATGATTTACTTCAAATGGATTTATCAAATAAATCTCATTAAAAATAATTTAGTTAAAAATAGTAATAAAACTATTCCAATTAGCGGCAAAAACTAAATAAGTCACAAATCACTGTACAATTATCACTCTGCTTTTATTGCATAGCTCTTGTTCCGGAACATAGTAAATTTGTATAATAGTTAAAATAATGAGTAAAATATTACGAGCAAACTACTAATTAACTAAAAACAAAATATATACGGAATTTTTTATTATTTATTTGAATATGTATGCCCCACAATATAACATTATTTTAAATTTATACATATCTACCACAATATTCAGCTTTGAATTATTATTTAGAATACATGGAATTACTGAAAATAATCTGATTAACTCATTTAGCAGCAAAAAAATCATAATTTGAATTTATTTGTCTATATATATATATATAAATAAGAAAAATATTTGAATTTATTTGTATATATAAATATGAAATAAAATATTTTATTGATATAGAGTGAAAAGTTTAAATTAGACTGAATTATTATAACATATCATATTTGCTAAGAAACTTATATATTAAAGTAGTTAATCAAAAAACCAGATTTAATGTTGCAAAAATCATTTAAAAGAACAAAAGTTTGTACAATTTGACATTTATAATTCCTCTGGTGAAATAAAAAGCATACAAACAAAAAGCAAGAGCTAAAATATACTACAAATCCAAAGCTTAGATTTTAAACAATATAGTTTCACATAAATTCAATATTATTCTTTTTTCTTCTTTGGCGCAATATCCCCATAATGGGCCAAGGCCATTTGCCTATTATCAGATTTCGAGATGCATTCTTTTTTACCGGTTAAGGTTGAAAGCCCTATTCTCTACAATGATATTGGGCCAGGACTACGGTTTAAAAAGGATCAAGAACCACAACAAACATCCAAAGTAGGGACTTGAACCCTAAACCTGTAGCACCGAGAGCCAGTGCGCTAGTCACTAGACCATCAGGCTAAAATTCAGTATTAGCAACAAATATATATATTGGTCTTACACAAAGATTAAACCAGAACACGAATCCATAAAAATAAATATTCTTAAATATAAATATTTATAACACCTGCATTCGAATGCTATAAATATTTTTTATAGATTACATATATATATATATATATATATATATATATATTATATCTATTATATATAATTAAGCATCATTGGGCGTGTCACCATGTTTGCCACAGGTTTCGGGTTCGGCGGGATGAACTCCGAAACTAACAATCCGATTTTAACTTTTTTTTCTTCTTAAATGTGTGTTTTGTTCCAACTTGAGAGATAGGACAATTTTAATTCAGAATTTTTTTTTTTTTTTAATGCAAAATCGACGATTTTCATATTTCTTCATTTGGAGCCATTGACGTCATTTGGCGCAACTAAAATTTGCGATTTCTCATCCGATGGACGTAATTTTGAAAGTACATTCAAAATACCAGGTCAGGTGTACCGTAAGATCGGGTCGTACGAAGAGCCAAAGTTTCTTCAAATTTATTTTATGGGCAGTTCTGAAGAACGTGTGACAACTCGATGTCAGTACACTTTTATCGAATAAGCAGTACAAAGAGCTATTGTAGAATTGTTAGATAATTTTTAAAAAATCATAACCAACTTATTAAATTATTTAACGAATTTATTTATTTTGACGAAAGACAGATTAACAAGAAATAGTGTTCATCGCTTAGTTCTTAGATAAATGAAAGTAATGATTATTAAAAATTAAATTTGGTAAAATAAGTATAAAACAGTGTTAAAAATCAACATTATCTACATCCTTCATTAAATTAATAAAAATTAAACATTTTCTATTCGTTGAAGCTTAATTTGAACTTTTCATCATTCTTTACCAATCACTTCCTTAACAATAGTAATTATACATAGTATCTAATAATTGAACAAAATACAAGAAAGCCCCGGCAACGAGTGGCCGGGTCTGCTAGTATATCTATACATTGAGAGAGAGCACTATCTAACAAATGGTGGAAATTTGACTTCGCACTACAAATGCGGACTAGAGTACTCAACTTTAAAAAAAAAAAAAAATGTTTGGAATCTGTGTTTATTGTAAATTTTCATAAGAAATCTTAAAGACAATTTCTTAAAAAATGTAAACTATATTTTAACTTCTACCTGGATAATAACTAAAAGCATAATTTTCACTACTTTTGTAGCATTTAGCCTCATTTAAGTAAAATCTAATTTTGAAAACAAAAAATTTGAACATCGATTTATAATCCTGTAGCAAGTTTCTACTTATTAATTTTTTTTTAAAATTCCATCATGAGAAATTACGGATCTGTAAAGATTTTAAATTTTCTTGTTTAATTCAATGCGTTAACCTAAAACTTGGAAGGAACGAAACTTTCCGATGTTAACGTAAATAAATTTGAAAAAAAAAAAAAAAAATGCTAAGAGTATTGTTTGCAAAAATAAATGAAATTTACAAAAAGAACATCAATGAAAACATTTTTATTACGTTTCACAAATGTAAAAAAGCGATACATAGATAAAAATTCATTTTTAAATTAAAAACAGCTAAAAAATAAAATAAAAAAACTGTTAAAACATTTAAATAAAATAATTGTTACACGCAGATGTCAAACAATCTTGTAATTCTAATTCCTTCCATCCTGAAGAAAGTTATTTCTAGTATCGCTTAAATATGCTTTTTTCTGAAGGAATCTCACGATGGGAATGCTCAATATTCTGTGCAGTCTGATGGCCAATTGGCTAGTGCTCTGTTCATTGGTACCATAGGATTCCCGTTCGAATCATAGCGGGGGCATGGGTGTTTTTCAGTAGTTCGTTATCCATATATAACTATAGGTCCCGATCTAATTAGCCTAAAGTGTGGGCAAAATAACAGTAGAGTGACAAACCAAACCTCAATATTTTGCTGAGAGCTTCCTGTTATATGTGTCCATTCATTATCTACAGCCAACTGAAAATAAGGCTGGTTTTTGACTTTTGTTGCTGAATTGTTTGAATGATCTCTTCGATAGGGTATGGAACAGATCTCTTGTTCTTATCCACCATTTTTTAAATTAATCAGGAAATCATATTTTAATTTTAACTTATTGGTAGAAACATCACAGTAAGGTTTTGCTTTCCACTCTATGATCATTCTGCGCATATTTTAGGCTAATTAGACCGGGATCTACAATTTAACATCCCTTCCACCGGCAGGATTTGAAGCTGAATCCTGTGGTATCAAAGGCCAGATCGCTATCCAATTGCACATCAGGATGCATCACAGTAAGAAGATTGCTCTGTTTCATATTGTAAGGTTTATGATGCATGTTTTTTTAAGGAAAGTATAATTGACATCTTGGCATCAATTCAATCTGCTGCCTTAAATTCA